GCAGTGGAAACATTAAAGAAGCAAGTAATCAAGTTCAGAAACCAGAAACACTGCAGAAATCCACATAAAATGAAATTTGCCCATGAATCTGTTTAGTTGCTCTTACATTATGCTGGCAGCCTGATTGTACCATTGTGTCTGATGATGCAACTTTATCATGAAGTTATTTTATTAACCATACTGGTGGAGATGGACATTAGAACTCAGGGGACTATCAGCTCTTGCTATTATATTATTTTCATGAAAGAAGCCCTAAATCCTCTAATTATAAACTTGACTTCAAATCAACAACAAGCATGTACCTTGCTACCAGCTGTGTGATGCTGCATGTACTATAGCAGAGCTTATCTAGGCTCAAGTGCATGGAGACTGTACTGGACTGAAGGAGATGCATGAGAAGCCAGTATACTAGATGAGGATCTCGTTCTGATCTTGATATCAGACTGAAGTATCTAGAGTTAAGGTCTGAAAGTGAGTTTGAGACATTAAGCCTATTTTGCTTCTCTATTTTCCCCATTAGTGCCCCTTATACTGTATACTATAGTTGCTTTCGTCAATGAAAATTATGACTAAATATCGTCATCAACGAACCTTTATCACGTGACGAAAACGAGACGAGACGCAACGCAATGCTGGTCATGTGACAATGACTATAATTAAATGTATAATGCAATATTGTTGACGAAAAAAAAACGAGACTAAATGTGGTTCACAAAATAAAAACTATGCCAAAATGTCTCTTTAGTTTCATTGACCAAAACGAAATGAAATGAAATGTTATTTCGTCTCATTCAGTCGTGTTATTATTATTATTTTGCAGTATTTCTGTTTCCTGTGTCTCGCTTCAGGGGCCGCATCAAGCTGCACTGCGCAGATGCAGGCAACGTCACTTCCTTAAACCCCACTCGCGGTATTATTTAGAAGACGTCAACAAACCAAGTTAAGTCTGACACAGAGAAAGGGACCAATGGCCGGCCAGCCGGGGTTTGTCATTGGGAGAAAAAGAAGAAACGACATTTGGAAAAACTTTCATTACATAGAAGTGGAAAAGAAAAAGTTTTCTGTGGAAAAAGATGGGGAGAAATGTGGCCACAAAATCACACAAAATGTGTATTGGATGTATTCTTGAGTCTATAAGGTAACAATAATATAATAAGATAACCTTGTTTGAAATGGGTTTGGCTAAAAGAAACTTTTGGTTTCCTCTATACTACTAGGTACTTATACTATATTGACTGGGTTAAATAGAACTGCATTACTAAAAAGAGACTAAAATACAATTTTCATTGACTAAAACTAGACTAAAATGTCATCA